GGACTAATCTTTTCCTTGTATCCTGTTCTCTTCATTCTCCCTTGCTCCCGAAGGGATGAGACCAGTGGAGTATCTTAGATGGCAGATCACAGGCTTTTATGACCCCAGACACTACTCACTAAGGTAGAATGTAGAGCATTGTCTTTATAAGCTGTGTCATGCCAATTGAGCTAGATGGGAACAGGATAATTTAAGGCCTAGTGGCGATGTATAAATCTGCAGGTAATGGGTATAGGAAGACAGTACACTCATGTTCTTCTAAGCAAATGAAAATATTAAGCGGTTGTCAGTCCAACTATGATTTTTCTTCAGTGCCAACTTTAATTAACCAGATTGGCTGCTGTTGTTGTTAGCTGCCATCAAATTGGCCCCAGACTCATGGGGACCCTATGCACAACAGAACAAAACAATGCCAGTCCTGAGCCATCCCCATGATCAGTTGTGTACTGGACTTTTGTGATCCACAGGGTTTTCACTGGCCGATTTTCAGAAGTAGACTGCCAGGCCTTACTACTACTAGTCTGTCTTAGTCTGGAAGCTCCACTGAAACCTGTTCAGCATCATAGCAACACAAAAGCCTCCACTGATGGACAGGTGGTGACTGTCTTGTGGTACACTGGCCGGGAATCGAATCTGGGTCTTCTGCATGGAAGGTGAGAGTTCTACCACTGACTCACCACTGCCCCTGACCAGATTGGCACTTACAGTAAAAATATGTTCAGCTGAATTTCAGAAAATTGCTAACCCTAATTTGCCTAAATTATAAATTTGTCAGTGTCTACATCTGATGCTAAATTTATTAGTAATGTTCTATATATATAGAAAAAAGGAATGGTCAATAGGTGAAGAGAATGAGATTTAGTTTAGTGACATCAGTTATACACTATTCAATAGGAAGAGAATACCATAAAATAGCAATATAGTTGTTTTACTGAGATAGGATTAATTTATTTGTCTCTTGTAGATGTTGCCAAAAAAAAAGGTGAGGGGGGCTCTAATTCATTAGGTACACAAAGCAGGAGGCCAATGAGTTAACCCACTTTTCTCCTGTGTTCACATCCTATCTGAAAAGGCCATCTGGGTCATAATCATACTATCAATTTCAACATCAGCAGGATTTACTATGTACTTATATGACAATTTCATAAGGCATCATATCAACTTTATTCTAGGTACTTTATCATTACCTCTCCACTCTACAACTCGAATTTTACCAATAATTTTCTCAAGCTATTTCTTCATCTGTAGAGTGGTAAATTCTGAGGATTTTCTAGGAATGTCCGCATTTCCCAGTACGTTGTCCTTCTAATATTCTTTGACTACTCCTTTGTAGGATGACTTGGAACCTTTTATTTTTAACTGAAGTTTTGCCTTGCCACTTAATACTATAAGTACTCCTATATATACAAAACATGTTTTACTGAGATGGCTAACAATGTCCATTGTTCAATAAAAAGATTTTATAAAACCAACCCCATTTTTCTGAAGGAACCAATTACTCAGTATGCTAAAGGATCATCATATGGTTGGATGACTTTCCATGGTAGATTCCAATGGACTGTCTCTACCCATAATTTGGATATCACCACAAACGACTCTATAAAATGCAATGCTAAGCTGATAGAACTTTTAAAATATATATATTCCTTATGATGGAATACTATGGATGATTTTAGTTAGTACTCTTTCCTAAAAATCTTATAAATTTGTTGAAAATATCAATAGGAACACATTTTCAGAAACAAATTTTGGTATTAAACATGTTACATAGCCACTTGGACACTTCGAGGTATACAAGTTATTAATAAATTACACCATTTGTCATCTACACTAGTATCTGCTGAAGACAGGAAGCCAGGTCTCCAACATTGGAGAATCTTCCAATAGGAAAGTTAAATTTTTTAAGAAAGGTCACAGTTTTTATGTCACATTTTAGAAGCATTATAATTCGTATTCCAAGAGATCCTCACAGCCTCAGTAATTTAAATTAATTATAAATAAATAGTTAAATAACAAGTTATGTGGAGACTAATGTCTAGGGTTATTTTAGCATGATGACTATCTACATCTATACACACATACATACATACTTGTTTGTCTTTTCAACACAACTGTGAGATAGAAAGGATTTGCTGGTTTCATTTTAAAGGTAAAGAAACTGAGTCAAACTGAGGTGGAGTACCCAACAATATACAGCTAATGGCAAGAAAATTAGAAAATCATCAGTCCTACGTAAAATCTTTCTAATTTTATTTTTCATATCTAGTTGCTAAACATTCTCTATGACCCTCTTTTCTGGGAAGTTTTGATAGAACATCTGTGACACAAAATGTGAAAGAATGAATGGTGCTATCATAAACACAGATATTTTATAGTCAGCAAATGACAGAAGTTTAGCATTAATGTCTTCTTGCAGAAGATTTTCTCAATAATGACTTTAATAATCATTTTCAAATGCTTTAAAAGTGTTTATACTCCAATAAAAATGTTAATAAAGATATCAGAGAAGTCAGAATAAAGCAATCTCTACAGGCGTCTTTACCTAGCGTAAAAGGAGGAGGAAAGCCTTGTTGATGCTTTGGGACTGTCTGACATGAAACATAAAAGAGGCAGAATAATAGCCTCCCAAATTGTCCATGTCTTTATCCCCAGAATTCTGTGAATATGTTACCTTACATGGCAAAACGGATTTTGCAGATGGGATTAAGTTAATGGTTTTGAGATGGAAAGATTATCCTGGATTATCCGAGTGGGTCCAATGTAATCACAAGGGTGCTTATAAGTAAAAGAGGGAGGCAGGAGGGTCAGGATCATAGTAATACGGCCTGAGAAAGATTTGACCAACCAGTGCTGGCTCTGAAGATGGAAGGGGGCCATGGGCCGTAGAATGCAGTAGCCTCTGTTATGTGCTATCGAGCGGATTCAGACACATAGAGACCCTTTATGACACAGTAGAACTGCCCCCAGGGTTTCATAGGCCATAACCTTTACGGGAGCAGATCGCCAGGTCTTTCTCCCACAGAGCTTCTAGGAGGGTTCAAAGAGCCAGCCTTTTGGTTAACAGCTGAGCACTCAACCACTGCACCAGCAGGGCTCCTTGCAGTAGCCCCTAGAAGCTGGAAAAGGCAAGGAAATGGATTATCCCTTACCAAACCTGCTGCTGGTGAGTCAATTCCGACGCACAGTGATCCTATAGGACAGAGTGAAACTGCCCCCACAGGGTTTCCAAGGCTGTAATCTTTAGGGAGGCAGACTGCCACATCTTTCTCCCGAGAAGCAGCTAGTGGGTTCAAACCACTGACCTTTCAGTTAGCAGCACAGCACTTAACCACTGTGTCACTAGGTGTCCTTGATTATCTCTTAAAACCCACTGCTGTCGAGTCAGTTCCGACTGACAGCGACTGTATAGGACAGAGTAGAACTGCCTCATGGTGTTTCCAAAGAGTGGCTGGTAGATTCTAACTGCCGACCTTTGGTTAGTAGCCAAGCTGTTAAGCACTGCACCACCAGGGCTCCTAATCATCTCTTGTTGTTATGTGCCGTCAAGTCGATTCTGACTCATAGAGACCCTACAGGACAGAGTAGACCTGCCCCATTGGGTTTCCAAGGAGCAGCTGGTGGATTCGAACTGCCAACCTTTTGGTTAGCAGGCCAGCTCTTAACCACTGCAGCCCCAAGGCTCCCTTATTATCCCTTAAAAACCCATTGCCGATGAGTCGATTCTGACTCATAGTGACCCTATAGGACAGAAGAGAACTGCCCTACAGGGTTTCCAAGCAGTGCCTGGTGGATTCTAACTGGTGACCTTCTTTTGGTTAGCAGACATAGCTTTTAACCACTACGCCGCCAGGTATTCCTATTATCCCTTAGAGCCT